ATCATCATTTGTTTTCATACTGAAGTTTTCTTGTTCCTTTTTAATTCTTATCTGAATAATAAATTAAACATGTAACATTTTCTTGAAGCAAACAAAAATAATCAGATGGTTTTAGAAAAGGGATCTTTAGAACATTGTAGATCATAAACGTATAACAGATTTCACACAATTCTGTTTTTATACGACATGATTACAATTAATCACAGTTAGTATTAAGCCATTTATTGGCATTGAATATCCGCTGGGGTCGCTGGGGTCAAACCTCTCCACGGCAACAGCACATCTGAACGTAAGCAACATTATACAGTGGAAATGCTGCTGGGTTGTGGCAGAATATATTAATAAAACCCATCAATAAACTGTTAAGATTATAAATAACTTGCTCTGCATTCAATGAGTACGTCTTGATGTTAAATCATATTGATCATCTTTTCATTTATGTCATCTGGCAGATGAAAACTGCTTTGATTTGATGGAAGAATAATATTTAAAAACATACCATTACCTAATAATAATATAGTAAATACATGCTGCCATGAGCAGGTTTTTCATTTTTTGTCATGGAATAATGACATTACATTTCCACTAGAAAAGACTATTATTAGATTTAAGTTTTGGTTTATAGGTTTTAAAATGTCAACATTCCACAGAAGAAAATCCTACTTCTACAAAGTCTCACATTTTTCTTTATTTTAAAACCTATAAGAATAAAAGTAAAACAGTGTTTCTTTAAAAAATAACATCAAAATTCCAACAGTAAGTATTTATAGTTATCTAAGTTTCATTTCTCCAGACAAAGGACAGAATTGTCTCTTTGGATTGTAAAGGTTGCAGATTCCTATTCTAGAGCCTCGAGGGCCACATAAAATCATACAGCGGGCCAGATTTAGCCCTCGGGCCTTAAGTTTGACCCACAGATGCATTCACACTCAGATGCATTCCTATGCATCAGTAGGAAGGAAGAAATCCAACATGTCTTCATAAAGCCTGACAGGGCCAAGACGTCCGCCATGCGGAGCTCCTCTGGATACAGCAGGGAGCAAAGCTGCGTTTCCAGGCTGGACAGAAGCTGACTGAACCAGGTTACCTCAGTGAACCCTGAGGCTGGAGCTGACGGTCTGATCCCTGCTGTAATGAGCGTGTCTGTGGGTCTGAGCTGCAGCCCTCCTCTAACGGTGTGCGGCAGAAACCGGAGCAAAGATGGCAGACCGACCAGAGGCAGGACGCTCTTCTCCTTCTGTCTGGCTCGATAACCAGATGTGTCAGTCATGGTGCTAACACGGTACGCAGAGAAGCTACCGTTCTCAGGCAAGAGGGTAAGAGTCAGCCGTCAAATCAGAGCAGATGTCTGCTGATTGTCTCTGCCTCCAGCGTGAGACGTTCAGCTGTTAGTGGAGAAGTAGAGCACATCGATGTTTACACACAGTGGCCTGTATCTGCTGCATGAGCAGCTTCACCGGCTCATCATCATGCTCTTTATATAAATCTCTAGCGCAGCCGCTTTCCTACTGAATATCAGCTGCTATTGTCCCATTAAAACACAGATCTGATTCAGTTTGAGCACTTTCTTTTAGGTTTTGGCATTTTTGAAAAAGATTGAAAACAAAACAGCTTTTGCAGTCTAGTAGAGACTTAACTAACATGGAAAACTGAATAAAAATTCTTTCATCTGATTGTGTTTGTGTAACATGTTACATATAGAGCCTTGATAGCTCTTGACACAAGAAGGAAGTGGAAGGAAAGTGAAACATGGCATTTAAAAAACAGATGAGAGTTGTATTCAGACCAGAGCTGGTGCTTTAAAGCATTCATTTGATTGATTACATAGATTTGACCACAAAAAAAAAATGTTATCAAAATTTTGTTGTTTTTTTCTTGGCACATGTTTCTGGTAAGTCAAGGCATAAATCTGGCTCACAAATGACAGGCTTCACAAGCTGCTTCTTTTGGCAAACTAGGGGTTAATTTTCACTTCAACAAAGATCTGAGATGTTTATTTTGTCAAAGTTTGTGACTATTTAAAAATCACTACAAATCAATCAAGTCACATAGGTTGGTCAAATGTCAACTGTATAAAGGGGGTCAAAAACAAATATATGCCACACTTTTCAGACACTTTTATCATCTGTAAGAGAAAAAAAAACTATAACAAACCCTTCATAATTTACCTTCCACTGATGAATTATGTTCTACATGGTGTTGCTCTACCACACAAACCCTAAAAAGTAGATCCATTTTCCTTTTTTCTGTAACTGTTTCACTGTATTTTTTTCATTTTACTTACAGCTTTACAACGGTGTAGATGGGGAAAAAAACAGTAAATTTCTGTCAAAATATTTTGGGATTAATTTAAAAAAAAAATCTAAAATTAAAACTTGGAAGTCTGAGTTCTTTCTTGCTGCATGTTTTCAACTTTTGGAGCTCAGAAATGTCCTCATTCTTCCTAGAAAATTTCTGACGTTTTTCTTTTAGTTTTTTTTTGGCAGAAATTTGGCCTTTTTTCTCTCTATATAGGCCCTGATGCGTACAGTTCTCCTCCGTCACCAGCTCCTCCTGTCTTTCAGGTGGAGAGCACCAGCCGCCCCGACCTGGCGCTCTTCCTCATCAAATACCTGATGATGCTGATTGTGGGAATCCCCTCTGTGTTCTGGGTGGGCAGTAAGAAGACCTGCTTTGAGTGGGCCAGCTTCTTCCACGGCAAGAGGCGCAAAGAGTACGTACCCACCAGACCCCCACACCATCAGGGGGTACATTCCATAAATGTTGTCGTGGCAGGACAATTTAATCTAGAATATTTTTTTTTTATCACTGGACTTTTCTGTCAGAAAAAAGTTTGAGGCGACAAAAGCTGAACATTTTTCCAGCTTGTGCATGTCTCACAAATTTCTGCATCCAAAACAAATAAATAAAAATTAGTGAGAAAAATCTCAGAAGTTCTGAGATTAATCTCAGAAATTTTCCAGAAGTTTTTTCTCACAAATTTTTGACTTTAGCAGCTCAAACATTTAAGTTTTCTCAGAAAATTTTACTATTTGTATCGATCTTCAATGGCCCTAATACGCCCCCTTCAGGCGGGTCGCCCTCTAGGCCCAGACTTGGGTCCATGTTGGTTCTGGTCCATGTTGGTTCTGGTCCATGTTGGTTCTGGTCCATGTTGGTTCTGGTCCATGGTGGTTCTGGTGTTTGCTCCAGAGTTGTCAGGTTGTTGGTGAACACAAGCCCCTCTCTGCACCCCCCCTCCTCCAAACTCAGAGCATTAACCCCCTGTCCCACTGCCTGCTCCACCCACTCCTCCATCCTCTCCTACCACACCCACCACCCCACCACCTTCCCCTTGTCCCTCCCCACCCTTCTGCGTCTCTCCCTGCCCACCTTCTCCTCCTCATCTTCCTCCTCCGCCTCCTCCCTGCCCCGCCGCAGTGGGATGGTCAACGACAGCCGCCAGGTTCTCCAGGAGCCCGACTTCGCCCAGCTGCTGTACCGGGACCCCAACACGCCCATCGTGAGGAAGTCGCGGGGCACGTCCACCCAGGGCACCTCCACCCACGCCTCTTCCACCCACCTGGCCATGCTGGACGAGCCGCCCAGCGCCAGCACCAGCCGGGCCGGATCGGTGCGCAGCGCTCGCTCCAAGATGAGCAGTTACCATGGCAGCCTGCACCGCTCCAGAGACGGCAGGTGGGTTTCCCCCGTCACCTCTCCAGATGTTTGGATGTTGGTTGCTGAACTCGTCCCGGGTCTCCCTGGCAGGTACACGACGTCCAGCATGCCCCGCCTCAGCGACCAGTCCAGACACTGCAGCACCAACCGACTGGACGGCCTGTCCAGACACGACTCCACCTTGCGCCTGGACAGCCAATCGCGGCACAGCAGCACCAGAGACCTGAGTGGCTCCGCGCAGGCCGTCCTCGGTGTCCCCGGAAACGGGATTCACCGGATGTTGGACGAGGATGGAGCTGCAGCCTGAAGGGACAAATGAAGGAGGGAGACCCACCCCGGGTCGGAGTGGGACCCAGAACCAGACTGTTGATCCAATCAGAGGAAGGGAAGTACTTTTGGATCTTTGCCTTAATGTCTCTCAGCTTTATCTGCCAGCCCAGCTGATCCAAAAAAAAAAAACAAAAAAAAAAAACTCTCCAAGCTGACTGTCTCTGGGTTTACAAATGGAGACGAAACTTTGGACCTAAACTCCTGAGCCTGACAAAAACAAAATGTGAATTTTATTTTTTGTTTTGTACTTGTTTAACTTGTGACTTTGAAATGGATTTAATGGATGAGACAGGAGCTTTGTCCTCAAGCCTGGGCATCTTGGCACTCAAAATATTTAAAGCCTGATTTTCCCCTTTAGCTCAGGCATCTGCTGCAGTTTTGGGTGTCTTCATCTTCATGTGAAGCTTCATGTTACATCAGCCTGTTTTACACCGTCCCGAACGATAGCTGTGTTTCCATTGGCCATATAATTGCAGAAATTGACATTTTAAAGATAAATTTGCTTACAAAAACATGCTAATTTCAAAAAACTGTTTTGCTAAAACGTTCTAGCACTCTGTGGTGGTTTTGTTTTTGGGAAATTGGTATATTTTTACAAACCTGCAATGGAAACACTTTTATTGCATCACATGATGCTGCCACTGGCACAAACCACGAAGAAGACGACAGGAAGTGGTCGGAGGATGATGGTGCAGCATGTTTTTTAATGACTTATCATGTCAGCAAACTTACTCATATGTAATTTTTATTGTTTTATTTAATGGAAACATCGCAACTGCAAAATATAGACACACTTTGCCGCACATTTGTAATGGAAACTCAGCTACTGAAGCACAATTGCACTGACAGAACAGAGGAAGTGTGTTTCAAATTTTTTGATTCTTTGCGTCAAAACCCATTTAATGTTGAGGGACAGGAGTTGAGCCGCACCGTCTTCTCAGATTGAGAATCAATTCAAAACCTTTTCTACCTTTATTGTAACGTATATCCTGTACAACTAAAAAAAAATCTGTTTGAGGGAGAAAAAAATAAAGGTGCAACGACCTTTGAACTAATAATATACTAATAGACTTTAAAAGTATTCAGTCCTTTTTGTGTAGGAGTCTAGCAGCTTCGGCCCGCTCTGCTTGGAGGACGTCTCTTGTCTACATCAACTTATCAACCCTCCAGATTTGCAAACCCTTCTGTAGATTAAGATGTATACTTAGACTCATTGGGATGCTGAAAAATAAAATCCATCTTCAACTTTCTAATTGCAACTTTAACCACCTTCATTGAAAAAAACATGTTTCATATCAAGAAGAGTTAACCTCAGGATCATTTATTCCAAGTTGCTCCCTTTTTTAATTCTTCCTTATATCAAATGTTTTAGATTGAAATGTACACTATATGTGGAAAGGTTTTGAACTGAGATCGTCTCATATCAAAAACAGAGTGTGTACATTGGAGGACCACCTGATGCAACAGTGCTTAAATCTCAACTTTGGTCTCTTAGCAATGAGGAGCACTGAGCTTAGGTGAAATTTGGAGGTGTGTGTGCCCCTGTCCTTTGCTCCAAGTACAATTTCAACTGCTTGCCAACATAAGAAAGTAGTTTAGAAAAAACACGATTTCTTTTGGTATCTTAGCAACCAGCACTATTGAGCCCAGGTGCAATTTGGAGGCGTGTGTCCTCCAGGCATTGCTCCTGTGCAGTGAAATCCTAAGTCTGTTTAAATGTGTCCTTACTTGTAGCTACTGTAAATGTTACTGATGTTTTGTTTATAGATGTAAAAAGTTTTCATTTGTAATAAAAGCTTTTTAAAGAATCCATTTGGAGAAATGACCACACGGCAACAAGACGGGTGTGTATTTGTAACAGCCCTCCGCTTTATTGAAATACATCGGAGTCGGGTTAATATGAGTTCTCCACATCAGTGTGGCAGCCAGTTCCATACATTATTTTTGACCTTACACCTTAAATATTTTTGTGCAAAAAGGAATCTACATCACCTGTAGTGGGTTATCCTCAGTAAAACGCCCAAACCGTCCAAAAAAGGAGCAAGTAAAACAAACCAAAAACAAAATGATTACATCTAGAACATGCAAAACTGTACAAATTATTACAAAGCAATCCTAGAAAAAAAAGTGTAATATGATATGAAAGAGCAAAAATAATATAGAAGGTACTGTAGATAAGACCTCATTGAAATGTAAAGGCGTTTGATTTTGTTTAGGCCTTCCTCCACAGAAAACTGTGGCACGTTGGCCATCGGATCACCTGCCACCCTTCGACTCACGCCGTCCGTCCCATAGGCCGACCTCGACACATTTCCTGAGATTTCCTTCCTCACTCCAGAACGTCTGGGATCAGTCAGTTTTTAAATTTTTTTTAAACATATCGACCGATGTTCAAACACCCCCCGCCCAAACAATGTCTGCTTCCTTTACCTCCTACTGGACACCACTTGCAGGTGAGAAACAGAGAGCTGCACGCTTAAAAGGTTCAGGGTGTTGGAAAATAAGCTTTGAGCTTCAAATCACAATAGAAAATAAAATCCATAAACAAAACACTTGGAATGAGGTACAGAGAGCTAATTTGTTGGATTTCAACAGGGGGAAGCAGCAGGAATGACCACTGAAGTATGTAATGTTTGATTCCCTTATATGGAGCTGATCCTGGCAGGCTTCAACTTGGACTCTGCAATGGGGAGGAAAGAGAAAATACTGTGTACAATAGGAATGTTTATTCTAAGTTTATCCAAAAGAAAACTGTTCAGCTTTAAGAATGTTTCTGTGTTTTAAATAACAGAAAATGGTGTTTGATTTGTGTCTAATCCCCACAGGTTACTGTCAGATTCTGCTCCATTAATTGTCAGATTTTGCTCCAAGAGTTGTTCCTTTTGTAAATGGGGTTCAAAACTGGCAAAAATAAATGGCAGAAACTGCTAAACAGATACAGTAAAATACAACCAACAAATCCCCCTAAAACCAAACCAGAAAGCAAGTTCAGAGCTCCAACCCAGTTAATATTAGCAAAACAATCAGAAATACATCGGAGTCAAGCGCTGGTTTAAGTGTTTACATTCCTTGTTTTAGTGTTCTGTTTCCATCAAGAGCTTTTAATTGACATTTTAGCACATTTTTAACAAGCAAAGGCTGTGACAAAAGAAAGCATGTCACCAAAATGTCCCTCTTTTGTCCGTTTTTGGTTAAATAGAGCTTATCCATCAGTAGAGGGGTCGACCTTTTTTCCATCCCGGTACCACGGCCCATCGGACGACCAGAGGAGCCTTAGGGATGAGGCGTTTTGCTGCGTAAAACCACCACCTCAGTGTACGAGAGCGTAGATACAAATGTAATAGCAGGTTGGTGAGAAATGCAAATTTTCCACTAGATAGTTTGAGCAGTAGTGTCAATCCATAAATGGGGGGTGGAGGAGAAAAACACAAAAACCAAAAACACAACACAACGTGTCAGACGTAGAATATAAAACTAACTCATAAAACTGATTTAAAAAAAACAACAACAAAGTGGTTTAAAAATGGCTTTTTGTGTGAATAAAAACTCAAAATCACTCAAAACAAAAACCAGAAAACCAAATCAGGATTTCTTTGCTCATTCCCCATGTAGTTCTCTATAGTATTTTCCTTATCATATATTACTCTACTTTTAACCTATGTACATCATCGCGATGGGAATCAGTGACTTGGTCAGTTTGGTTGCACAGCAAAGTGGAACGTCTAACGCTACGACGACGGAGGACGCCTCCCTTGATGAACCAATGAGGAAGAGAGTAGCACAGTAGGAAGTAGGAAGGTTTTTTGCAAATGCTCAAAATAACAATAATTAGAAAATATAAAGTCACTGCACTGAGTATCAGGAGAAAACTAAAACTCATTCCTTTTCTTTCTCACTTCCTTTTTTTTAAATATGCGACATTTTTCGCAACACCCAAAGAAAAAGTGACTGTGGGAAAACGTTTGCTTCATGTTGCGTGGAAGCAAACCTAACCTTCCCCATCTAAGATCGATAAATAAATTAAAATTGTCCCCCTGAAACCCGGCTGGTCCTATGTACAAATACAAATCATTTTCTCTCATCGATAATCCGCTTCTTATTTTTTTTCTGTTGCGTCGTAAAGTTTGGCGTCTCTATGCGAATCTCTAAAGAGGGAAGGAGGGGCTGGGTAGGGAAGAGTGTCAGTGTCTATTCTGGATAATCATAGCGCATCTCTCATTCACTCATTTGGGGGTTTCCCCTCGAAAAGGCCCAGAGTTGTAGTGTTTCCATCCAATCAGGAAGCAACGTCCAGAGGCAGTTCATCAGGAGGAGGGAGCGGCGGATGGGAGGTGCAGTTCTCTGGGCAGTGGAGGTGAGAGGAGGGGGTGGTGTAGGGGCGAGGTTAGGGAGTCCTGTGCTGAATGGGGAGAGGGGGGCAGGGGGAGGGCTCATGTGTCCCAGCCCATCCGGTCTGTGCTCTCCAGGGACAGGGACTTGGTCTTGTGTGGGGACGCCGGGCTGGGGGGACTGCTGAAGGTGGAGCTGTTGGAGGCCGTGGAGTGACGGGGGGAGTCCGAGTCCTGGAGGGGAGGAGACGGAAAGAGAGAGAGGAGGAGTTAAAAACGTATAATAAAAAAAATGACAGGAAGGAGGGCTAAGATTCAGATTCTGTCATCAAAATACACTTAAAAACACAAAACCTTACAAGTATTTGCTCTAGTTTCTACTGCAAATATCTTAGTAAATTTGAAATAGGACAAAATTAACTTGCAAGTTACTTTTCAGCAAAACATAGGAACTTGTTTTAAGTTCCTCAATATTCGCCCAATATTCCTTAATATTGATGAAAAAAACTAAGTAAAATAATCTTCCAGGGGAACTAGTATTTTTTCATCAATTTTAAGAAAAAGTTAGTTTTGTCTTATTTCAACCGTGATGAGATATTTGCTCTAGGAACTAGACAACTTGGTGATATTTTGTGTTTTTGTGGTGTGAAAACTTTGGGTTTTTCTTATGACTTCTGAAAGTGGAGATGTTGCCCTGCAAAGTATTCACACCCCCTTCAACAATTCCTCACTTTGACACCCACAAACTTTAACTTTGAGATTTAGTGCGACAGACCAACACAAAGAAGTGCACAACTGTGAACAATGTGCGTTTCAAAGGATTCATCACACCCAAAGTGGTGAGTTCAGCTACTCAACCCCATTTAGTCTAATACCCCAAAATAAAATCCAGTGAAACTGATCGCAGTCTACAGTGAACATGGAAGAAGATGCTCTGATCTAACGCGACATATCAGCCTGAAGACACCATGAAACACGGCAATGGCACCGTCATGCTGTGGGGATAGCTTTTTTTTTTCCCCAGAGGTGACATGGAATGGAGGATGGAGGACCAGCCTGGGCAGAGCTTCACCTTCAAGCAGGAAACATGCAGCTAGAGCTTCTGTAGGATTACTTTAGTAATCGATTATTCTATCAATTTATCGATTAATCAGTTAAAATGGAAAAAAAAATGGACACATTCTACAGATTTTTCATTTAACCACATAAGCCTTTTTTATACATTAAAATATATTAAAAGATGCAAATAAAATAACTACTTCACTTTTTGAAATAAGAAAATAAAACATTTTATTGCAGTAACAGCATTCCTTTAGTGAATTTGAACTGGGTGAAATTAAAACTGTGCCACTTGGGGAAAACGTATTTACAAATCTTAAATGCAAATTGTATATGTATATATATTTTTTGTAGAGTTCTGGTTCCATTACTGCTCTAAATATGTTAGGGGTTTTTGCAGCAAATGGCATTTTTTGTGCCTATACAGTTAACGATTAATCGATTACTAAATTAGTTGACGATTACTTAAATAATTGATTTATCATGACTAATTGTTTCAGACCATTCTAAAGCTGGTTGTTAAAATGGTTTAGTAAAAGTCCAGACTTAATTTAGAGATCATATTTCCCAGTTGTCTATTTGTACAAACTACACATCATTTTCTGTTCACAATAATGCCTTACAGTGTTGGTCTATCACAAACGTCCCAAGTTACCATGACGATTACAACTCGGCATGATTCATTGATCTGCTGTGAGGGATGCAGTCCAGCACTTCACCAGCAAATCAACACCTCAACTGACCAGGAGGGATCAGCAGAAACCAAACATGCAGGCTGGAGCCGATGATGGAGGAGTGGAAGGTTTCCGATTCACCCTGAACTCATCACATACAGTCCGACTCACAGGAGACCAATAAATTACTGCGACTGACTCTGAAAATGGGACGATTTGGGCCAAACAGGAAGTGTGGCGGCTTCAGCCCGAGTGCTGGGTTGAAGTGTGTGTGATTCCACTTCCTGTCCTCAGGTCAGCGATGCCATCCTTCTGATTCATTCTGGTTTAAACCCACTAAAACCCCACAGATCCTACTGTGACTGCAACACAACACACCGTGGAGCAGCTTGAAAACACTGCAGGAACTAAATCTTACCAAGTAGTTATGCTCTAGTTTCTACTGCAAATATCTTAATACGCTTCAATTAAGACAAAACTAATTTAAAAATAACTTTTCAATAAGAAATAGAAGCTTGTCTAAATTAAATAGTTATTAATTAAAAATTAATAGTTTCACTGGCAATTATTTAACTTCTAACAAAACATTTCCATGTGTTATAAGTGGAATAATCTGCCAATGGAACTCGTAATTTTTCAGAATTATTAATGAACTATTTACCTAAAACAAGCTTCTAGTTTTTGCTGAAAAGTTACTTTTTGTTCCGTTTTGTTTTAATTGAAGTGTGTTAAGATATTTGTAGTAAAAACTAGACAAAAATTCTTTGTAAGATTCTGTTTTTGCAGTGAAAGTGTCAGCCTTTGTGCTGTAATGTACCAACAAAACGTGCAGCAGGATTTACCCAAAGCATGCAACCTCACTTCCAACCAGTCTACTTCACTTCCTTCATCTGGATTTTGCTCATTTAGCCAGTAAACACTGAGAAGATCCCAACTTATGCTTTGTTTTATCCTGGTTGGGAACATGAGCAGGCCACCAGGGGGCGGTATGGAGGCAGACATGCTGTGATTCAGCAATGAGAAGCAGCGTTGTCACAACAGAAGCCTGATGGTGCAGAGAGAGAGGGAGGGGAGGCGGCGTCGTTCCAGTGATAACACGCATATGTGTGTGTGTGTGTGAGATCAGCAACACGGTGCTCTCTCGCTTCTGTGTGTTTGTCGTTGCAGGTTGAACACATTACCTTCATCTTACTAAGCAGGGTCCTTAAAGCCCTTTTCAGATCGGGGGTCTTCTCCGACGGCGAGACCGCCTGCCACTGCAGAGGAGAGTTCACACTCAGCACCCAGACAACATGCTGGGGAGGGGGGGCAGGCATGGGGGGCGGGGTTCAGCTGGGTCGGGTCAGGGGGGCAACAAATGTGGCGAAATGGGAGGCGGAAACATCCAGGCTCATGAGGATGGGACAGCCAGGAGGGGAGACGCTGGCCGGCTACCATAGCAACAACCTCGTTATGATCGCAGAGAGGCTAAAACACCGGAGAGATGGGATGAGGTGGGACGGCTGAAACAGCTGCTGGGATGACTGGGACTGATGGGAACCAGTCTGAGGGAGTTCCTGGTTCAGCTAGGGGAACGTTCATGGTCTCAGTCTAGAACTACAGCGCCTAGCACAAGGATTCAGAAAAACCAGAGCTCCTTCACACCCGTCGCGTCACAGCCACAAACTTCACCAGATCCTAATGCCGCTTCGCTGAGAGGGCAAAGGAGCAGCATCATCAGGAAGTGGAGAGAAGAGGATGAGTGGTTTAAAAAGAAATGACAAGATAGAAATCTGCTCCGCCGGAAAACATGGTGGAAATCTTTACCAAAAATAAAAAATAAAAACAAAAAGAGGACTGATACATTGTCTTCTATAGGATGTTGATGTTTGTGAAAAAAATATTTAAAGAAAAAAAAAAAACAGTTTTCAATGTAGTGAGGAGAAAAATAATAATTATTATTTTGTCATTCTGCAGTGGAAATGTAATGCAGGATATATTCCATGCAAAATAATAATAAAAAAGGCTGAATCTCCATTTGTTGCATATATATACACATACGTATACACACACACTTTTTTTTAATAAGTTAGATTCTGCAAATTATTTTTTGCCAAACGATTAAAAGCCACTGTAGAAGATCCACAGAGCCACAGTCTGCAGATCAGAGAAGTACACACCACCTTCAGTCCCTCCACTATTAGCAAGTCTGTGATTGTGGAAATTCACACAAAACCAACAGATTCAGATTCTTTTGGTGTGTCAACGCTCAATTATGAGTTTATTGCACATTTTCTGTAAAAATGTTCAAAATCACTGGCAGTGACTGCTAACTCCCACCTGCAGGTGGCAGTGTTTCTTACTCCTACCACACTGCTTCCCCAGCTGTACTTGACGGCAAACTGGTTAGTGATCTATATGTTGAGTAAAAATGTACCTAAATGTACCTATAAATGTAATTTTTGCACCACAAAGTCATTTTGATTAAAACAAAGAATCACAAAAACTATCATGACATCCTGGAGGTACCAATGCTTTCACACAAGGATTTGAAAGTCAAATATTTCACAAATTCCTCCAGCATTCCTCACTCCTCTGCTGATCCATCATGTAAATTTAACAGGATGGAGTTTGTGGTTGTGACAACATGTGAAAAAGCTCAACACAGTCGGCTGGTTTAGTCTCCATACAGACTCTAATGCTTCTGTGGAATGATTGTTTTGAATGGTTAGTTAAAGTAACTTCAGTCTTGAGGGGTCCAAACTGGAATGAGTCAGATGTTGTAGAACCGACCACACATGCGGCTGCATGTCGGGGTTCAGCCTGCCTACTGACCTCTCTGTCGAACTGGGAGAGCGGAGCATCGCCGCAGTCCATCCCCCCGCCAGAGGACAGGGAGCTCTCGGAGGGCGAGGTCATGGTCTGGCGTTTGGACCCGTAGCTTCCCCCGGACAGCTCCCTGCGCAGAGCGCTGCCGTTCTGAGACGACGAGCCTGGACCCGGAGGAAAACAAGTCAGCTAAAGGCACCAAACTGAAACCACATCTGGAAACGTCAGCCTCCAATACTCACGTATGCCCAGTCCACTGCTGGCGCTCATGGAGCGGCCCGGCTCCCCCCGGTTCTTGGTGATGGAGGGGATGCTGACGGAGCCGCTGAACCCCGCCCGGGTCTCCTGAACACGGACGTTCTGCTTTAAACGCAGCAAGTGGACAGGAGGGGGGGAGGGGGGGTGCAGTGTGAGGGAGGGGGGCGGCAGTGAGTGCACAGCATGCTCAGACTAAAACACACACACACTGTGGTGGATCTGAACATAACAAGCTGACCTTCATTCCGTCTGTAGCTACATAACATGGTGAAGGATGGAGCAGCTCCAGCAGTGCAGAAGTAGTTTTGTTTTTTTGGTCTAAGTGAGAACTAAACCGTGAAGAAGCTTCTACAGCAGGGGTGTCCAGAACTTTTTGTCACAGGGGCCATAAATAAATATTTTATAAAACTAAAATCTCCAACAAAAAAAAAAAAAAAAAAAAAAATATGACTTAAAAGAAATTTGACTTACAAATTTAAAACTTGGAAATTAGGCCTCTGTCTCTTTAAGAAACTCCTGCTCTTTCTGAAACCTCGCCAAAGTGGCTCATTTATTAACCCTTTAAAAATGCTTTAACAGAGTCACCTTGAGAAGTAGCTGCTATAATGAGCTTAGCAGATGCTCAGTTCCACCAGGTAATGCTAATTGCTGCTGGCTAGTCTGTAGGAGTAAGTAAAACAGCCTCCGACAGGCTTTTAATTTAATGACATGTTTGGTGTGCTTTTCCTGTGTGTTTTGTGAAGTGCTTTGTGATTTTATCTGTGAATAGTACTCTTCTAATAAAATTTCTACGTACTTGAAGGATTTCTCAAACATGCATGAAAGAATCAAAACAACACTACATGTATGCTTTTGATGAGGGAATAATAATATAACATGATGTAATGCTCAAAAAGGTCAACTTTACATAGCACTGTCTCCTTAATATGGTAATTAAAAGGAGATTTTGGTGCTCTAGATGTGGTCTCAGTTACCATGACAATAAAAACAAAGCATAAATCTTTGAAAAGATGCTCATTTTGTGCGCCATCTAACATTTTTGCACAATTTTGATTTAAAAATGGCAGTTTTGTCCTAATTTAATTTTTAATAGCGAGAAGGAGAAGGCTGAAGAAAATAAATAAATAAATAAATTTTAAAAATCAGTCCGGATGTCACAACATTGAACACTCTTGCCCTGCGGTGTGTTTCCCTGTGGTCGGTGTGTGTGCTCGTACCATAGGGAGATCTTTCAGGATCTGGATCCCGTCTCCTGGTCCCATGTGGGCCACATGGTTGAAGTTGGTGGGGTTGGAGATCAGCTTGTTCCTCATTTCTGGATCTCGCAGCATGTCTCTGTAACCGTGACGACACAGGAACAAAGGTGAGCGAACAGGACCCGGAAACAGCAGACACACAGATCAGAACCAGGGCCGGCACCGGGCACTACCTCCTCTGCTGCAGCCGCTCCTCCTCTGGTATCCTGAAGGAGAAGCGCCGCTTGTTGTTTATGTTGCGCACCATCTGCTTCCTGCTGTTGTCTGACGTCTCCGGGACGACCAGCTCATCCCCCTCTGAAACACCAAAGCAGGAGTCTTCCTCACTTCTAGCCAACCACTGAGACACGAACACCTTCATCTCCTCTCATTCACTTCAGTTTAACTATTCACACCCCTAAAACTTTAAAGTCCTACTGGGTTTTATGTGATGTTCACTTCCTGGTTTTTAACTTTATCTTCATGAAAACTGAAAATCATGTTGCTCATACGCATCAAACCCTCCAGAGTCAAAACTTTACACAATCAAACACGAAGAGTGAAAACTTTCCTGTGTTAGTTTTACCTGCTCAATAATAAACAGCATTTTTATGAAATCTCTATATCTTAAGATATTAAAGATGAAAAACATAAAAAGGGGTTTGACCATTGTATTGTTAAAAAAAGAAATAATTAATTTCCAGATTTTTTCTGCCATCGATTGATTTCTATTTTGTTGGCCAAATAGCAAAACTGAGGCCTTCACAGAAATGTATTAAGATTAAATTACACAAAGCTAGACTAATTATTTGACTATCAATAGCAATCAGTTATGTTGTAATTTATTTAGGGGTATCGGAGTAAAGGGAGCCGATTTTTATTTGCCAAAAAATAGGAACCGACACATAATTTTATTTCAGTGATAAATCCTAGTAAAATAGTTGTTTGTGATTCAAAGGTGACTAAATATGGAATACTGTGAGATATCAATCTTTTCCAAGGAATTTTACTCCAAGATGCTTTCTTGTTAGTAGGAAGAGTTTAGGTCGACGCAGAAAGCGCTCTTACCAGCCATCTTGTTTCTAAAGTAGATCAGGCGCACCGTTTCCAGGCCCAGCAGGTTCAGAGATCCATCAACATTCAGAGGTCGCACCTACAGCAGCAGAAGAGAAACCTGTCGTCATTAACACTGAGACAGTGATGAACATTATTCTCTCTCCACCAGATGGCGCCCCAGAGACACAGACCTTCTTCAGAGGAATGGTCTGGATCCACTCCATGGTATTCACATCAAACACATCCACGGCGTTCTCACTGTACACCGACAGGTAGGGGGCGTTGTAGCCTGGACACAAGAACACACTGAGCTACAGGAATCAGGTTTTCCTTTTTTTTTAAATCTTTTTGTGTGTGTTTGAACCCGGTCCAACTCACAGGCGGCGCTGGGATGAGCCGGCCACATGAGCTCCTGCTGCCGTGACCTCCGACCCTGAGAGTCTACATAGACCCCGATGGAGCTGAAGCACAGCAGCAGCTCCTTGCTGGAGATCTCCACGGCGCACAGCGCGCTCAGGCCCTGCTGTGGGATGAAGGCCAGGGTGTGGTCCTCATGGTGCAGCAGGCTGACCGGGGACACGTCGCCATGGACACTGCGGACGGCATTGGGTTACTTTGATGGATTCAACACGTGTGTGTGTGTATGTGTGTGATCCACTGTAATCCAAAAGGAGGAAACCTATAGCGCGTGAAGCCGGACTGGTAGCCCACGTAAAGACGCTCGCTGAGCAGCCCCATCCACTGGACGGGCCCCGGGGCCTGCAGCTCCCGCAGCACTCGGTGGCGAGATTTCCCCTTATTCACCTGCAGGACAGGAAAGTCTTTAATTTCACATGAGCTCAGGGTCAAAAGAAACCTGAAGATGTCACTGCATGATCCATAGCATTAGCTAATTAGCACAGGCGCTAGCAGAAATACTTCCAGAGATGGCATTTTTATTTCTATTTTTTTTTTTTTTGTATTTTATTGTAATTGTAAAAATACTATATGATTTAGAGAGAACACAAGAATTAAATATAAAAAAAGGTTTACCCTCATTTTGCTAGCCTGACTCTTTAAAAAAAATAAAACAAATCAAGTAAATTTATGTGCCTGTGTACAATAATCAAACGTGAGGAAAGACAGTAATAAATTAGTGCTTCCCGTGATCACATGGGTTCACTGTTGTATAGTTTGATAACATTTTTAGTAAATCTCATTAAATATGTGATCAGGGCATCTGCAGCCTTCAGCAAGTCAATGTAAGAGTTTTTAAGACCTTAATGCTACCTTGAATAAAATTTAAGACTGAAAACACTATAAGGGAATAGTTGGTTCATTACAATCAAGAATAGCAAAAACTGGGAACCTGGCATTATGCCCATAATAAACACATAAAAAAGCTTGCTAGCTAGCTAGGAAGGGTATATTAGCAGCTAGTTAGCAGTAGCCTCAACCACCTTGAGCCAGAATGTAATGAAGATGGTCACATGTCTCAAACTTTTGCCTGGCTGAATTGTCCAATGAAAAAATACTACGTCAAATAGTCCTGCCACAACAAAATATAAGACCTCCATTAATGTATTTAAGGCCAACTTACATTTTTTTTTATGTATCAAAGCCATTTTATGGCCTTAATTTTAGATATGAATTTAAGACTTTCTAAGGATGATCAGACCCTGGTATTATTATAAAAGTAAAGGTCTTGATATGTCAATGTTGAGTCCACCAGAGGGCGCATCCACGGCATAATTACCTTACAGTTCCATGAATTCAATACACAATTTTATACTGCATAATAACCTTTGGACTAAATTATGACAATTATTAGCCATTAAGAGAATTATAACATTGTCTAGGAAAATAGGTCCTGCCGTGCGGACCGTCCAGAGCCTGTCCGACTCCTCCTCACCTCGTAGCAGATGACTTTACTCTTCATGGCCACACAGAGGCAGGTGAGGGAGCCGTTCCGGACCGGCCCCGACACCAGACTCTGGCAGTTTTTCGTTTCGGCCAGCTTGTTGGATTCGGTCTCGCGGCCGTCCAGCGCCTGGGTGGGTATGAGGCGGACGTGGCGGTTCCGCCCCGAGATGACGGCCAGCAGCTGCTCCTGGGGAATCAGGTCGATCTGGTAGACCTTCTTGTTGTCTCCCACACGGATTATTTCTACAAAAAGAGTTATGTCCATTATGGATGAAATTTAAGACCTGTAACACAGGTCTTAAATAAATATATATTTATGGAGGAAGAAATGTTTCCAGTTGTTAGATTAACTACAGAAAATGTCACATTCTTACTTCAGAACTTCAGAAAACAGAATGATTGCCATCTGAGGCTCTATTTTGTTGTGGTTCTATGCTCTGCTCCTTTTCCTCAATCTCCTCCTCCTCTGTATTTCCCTCAACAGTAACAGTTGCGTTGAAATAAAATTTTTCAGTATGTAGGAGTTTTGACTGACCACCATGTTTGAGTCGCAGCAAATACTAGCGCTAGTACTAGCCGCCTCCACCGTTTTCTGTGCAAAGCTTTTTGTACATAATGCATGTAGCATCACATGTGTTGGCAGCTGAAGGCGAAGATTAACATCATCCTGCAAACTGGCGATCATTAATGAACCACCTCGAGTCAGATACATAAGATGTCTGCATGCGACTCAAACTATCAGCTGATGGAAAGTCCTGTGAGGTAAAACAAAACTACATAAAATATATGAGATTAAGTAGTGTTGCCATGACAAAGCTGAATTTTTAAAATGCATTTAAGGCAGTTTAAGACTTTAAGAATGCACAGACATCCTCTTCCTCTTCATCCTACCAGTTCAGAGGTGAATGAACCAGAATGATAATCATGTTAGTGTGATCTTACCATCTTTGGTGACATGGATGACAAAGAGGCCTTCTTCGTTGCCGAGGGCGACGCGCTCATGATCTGAAGGCAGATTAAACGGAGAAAGACCACCATTTAAGGACCCGGAGGGTAAAAATAAAAAACAGAGGACTCCAGTCCTTTAACTGTCTGACAGTAGGAATCTCTGTTGGCCCACCTATGATAGCAGCAGACTGGGTGGTCTTGATGAGGGGCAGGGTGCAGTCGTACGCCTCCTTGGGGACGTAGACGAAGCGCTCCTTCAGCTTGTTCTTCTTCAGGATGCGGTGCAGCTCGTTGAGCAGACACACCCACTTGTTCCTCTCCTGGTCGCTGTCGGCCAGGATCAGGATGGACGCCTTGTGGCTGCTGGAGGGGGAGAGCTGGGACGCCGTCACCTGGAGAGACAGAGAGAGCAGAGGTCAGAGGTCAGAAGAAGCACAAATCAAACAGTGTTTTAAGAAGGAAGCAGCAGCAGAGCCCCTCACTCTGAATATGCAGGGTATGTCCTTGCGGCTGGCGTGGATGACATCCGACTCCAAAACGGAGCTGACTGAAAACTCCTCGTCCCTGTGAGATAGGCAGAGGTCAAAGGTTAAACACGCAGGTCAAAGCTTCTTCTATTTAAACTTGTAGCTAAAGCTCTTGAAAATTGCCCAGCAACAATCAAATCCCTGCATGAAGGATGTCCAGTTCTGGGTGCATCGTGATTCAGTGATAATTAGTCTGAACTAAGTTTGCTTTGGCAGAACCACAGACAGACATGTACTCATGTTATAAGTAGTAATTAGGTTTGATTCTGTTCTGAACGGTGACTTTGGTCATGTTACTGGAACTCATATTGTTCTTGATGCTGTTGTCCTCGTCTCTGTCGGTTTACCTCATATCCAACACCTGGCTGACGATGACGCTCGGTTGGGCGGCCTTCCCTTCGCCCAGCTCATAGAGAAACAGTTTGAAGTCACACACCACAGCCATGGCTTTCTGCCAGCCCTTCTTCACGCCGGTGGGTTTGGGAACCTGCAGACGGAGCGGAGCTCAGCTTCAGGAAAACGTTTGGCTCTGTGGGGCTCTGGTTTCTCAGATCACTCACCCTCACATAGCCCTCGTACGCAGTACCGATGCCCCTCTGGGGGTCGATGCCCAGCGGGCCCTTGGTCTGGTCCTGGGGCACGGGACACACAGCTGGAGCTTTGTCCGCACAAGTTACGTGGCAGGAAAAATTACACACTGAACACACAACAAACACAAAGCAAAAACATGAAGGTGCATCAAGAACTCAACCTGCAAAATGGGGAAAAAAAATCAGTAAAATTCAAGCACTTTCAAGGTGAATTTTCAAACTTTTCCAGCACCACATTTTGGAGACAAAAATAATGGAGATTAACTAAAAAAAAAAAAAAAATAGATCACTATTATATAATATATTACTGTTATTAATAATGCCTTGTGATCGTCTTATACAATCTACAGAAGGGACAATGTAAACTAGAATATAATAAATGTTATGTTTTTAAATGTCTAACACAACCTATACATCAAATAACATCTTCCAAATTTGGGATTTCAATCAAGCATTAGATTGAGTTTTATTACAAAACAGAAATCAAGCACTTTCCAAACCTTGAAAATATCTAACATCAAGAGTTTTCAAGGATTTGGAGGATCCATATGAATCCAGTTTATTGTCAGGTTGTGTTTTCCGGTTTCTTACCCTCACAGGTGCAGCCCTGACGGATGAGCCCCACCATGAGGGAGGTGCACTGGTTGCACTTTGTGGGAGCGTTGAAGGACTTGACGACAAACTGATGTGCTTTGGGCTGTTGGAGGCGGACATGAGAAACAGTGTTTATCAAAGTTTCAGCCGGGAGAGATCCTAGATTACTTCCTTAAAAAAAACAACAACAACAAAAAAAACAGCCTAACCTTTGGTGAGGAGCGTCCGATGCTGCCGTAACCTCCTGAACGCATGGTGGGGGTCTGAACAGCTCGGCCTGGGTGGTCTATCAGCTGCAGAACAAAACAGATAACTTTTAATGCTAATGAACGATCTCTTCAATGCAGAGCTTGGATTTACGGCCAAAATTCTGGCCAGAATTATGTTGAGGAAATAAAGAAAGTAAGGTTCAGAAGTCAATCAGACTGTAACAAGCGGCTCTGCTCCCATCAATCACACATCCCAGATGATGTGCACACGACTCACAACAAGCAACAAGATAGAACTGGAAGACGTTCATCAAAAGCTAAAAACGGAAAAACTTAAACAGCTTTCTGACTTACATGTTGGCCTAAAAACAAAAGCAGTAACATTTTAATTAAAATAATGAGTCAGTTGGAGTTATTTACATGTTAAGTGAACACCACTCATCCTCTTTCTTATTCTACTTTATTGTTTGTTTGTTTTTTTTGGAAATTTGCATGCAAGTTTGTTTATGTATTTGTAGTTATGTTAAGGAAAGCTTGAAGAAATAAAAAATAAAACGTCGGGTTTACTTTGTGTGTATAATTTAAGTTATCTGGGTTGGATTGGGCTCTAAACTCCAGTTCAGTTCAACAACGTATAAACAAAAAAAAAAAAAAAAAGTCTAAACAGAAAAATGCTGATTTGCTCCATCAGACATCGTTTCTCTTGCTGTTATTGTGCTGCAGGATTCTTCTCCGTAACTAAATTACCTGTAATTCATAGTGGATGACTGAGCCAACAGTGGCAGCACTATGAGCTGCAGACGCTATTTATGCCACTAACAATTGTTCCTCAGGATATTTGGAAGTGTTTTGTGCGTGCCAAACATTCCTGTCTAATTCCCGTGGGCGGCTCGGCTAAAACAAGTTGGATTATCTGACCTCTATCGGCTCCATGTCGCTCGCCATGGAAGGGGAACGGGAATGCGACTTTAGATGGGACTTGGGGTCGTCTTCCCGAGACGGAGTGCTGAAGGGGGTGAAGTTATCCATGGAGTCCACCTGAGGAGAGCAGAATACAGAGAGGAGGGGAGAGGAAGAGTTGGGCGGTTAGGAAAAGGATGGACAGAGCAGGAAGTAAAACGGATCAGTAGAAACATGCAGCAGTCATGCTGACAGATAAAGATGGTGGACAGGACAGGAGGTGGTCCACTTAAACTGACCCCAATTTAATCACCTCATGTTCTCTAACATCACAACACCACGACCCTGTTAACTGCACCAAATACACCACAAACCATGCAAGGCCATCACACACACACATCATACACAAACAGGTAGACCGTGTCACTGAGGTATTCGCATCCCTTTAACTTTTCCACACCTTGTTGGGTTACAAACTTCAATGTCATTAGTGAGATTTTACCTGAGCAACACGATGTAGAGCATAGATGGGAGGAAACTGAAGAATGGTTTCATAAAACTCAGATTTTCTTTATTTAGAGTGTCAGAGCATCCTTTAAATAAGACATTAAGGCCTTTAAAGATCTTACATTTGTTTAAAAAATGCAAGCCGGCCTTAAATCACAGGTCTTACATTTTGTCGTGGCAGGGCTATTTACTCTTATATTCTCTGTAGTTTATTTTCCTTGTGAGATTTTTCTGTCAGATAAAAGTTTGAGTCGTGGGTAGACACCGTTATTGAGTTCTGTGACTTGAAGGGGGTCAGGCTACCGCAAACTAGCTGCTAACATGCTCAAACTAGCTAGCTAGCTTTTTAACTTTCATCAAAAAAAGTGTAAATTATCTCCAGTTGCCAGGGCAACGTTTGTTTTGCCACTGTCTCTTTTCTGTTGCCAACCTGTAAGAAGCTACGCTCTGGACAAAAATATCATAACTATATGAAATACATGATTTTCTGTTATACATTTCTGTTGTGACACAGGATAATTTTGTTTTCAGAGACTTTGTAATTCATTTTATTTGTTGTTGTTTTTTTGTCATTTATTTTGGATATTTAAAATTTCTTCCAGTTCATGTGTTAAATCTTCATTAAAATTGAAAGTTTATTGATATTTGAGAATGTGTTTTTGCATTATTATACCATTACCACTACACCTGAAAAGGTCTCAAAACAACAACATTGTCATTTATTTCAATAACTTCTGGGACAATTTAGTAACTGTGAAAGGTCTAGATTCAAGTCTTAATAATGGCCTTTAAAAAGTCTAATATTTGAGTTGATGAAACCTGTAGAAATGCTGTTATGGGTATCAGAGTGAAAAGGGGCTGAATGTTATTCTTTCACTTTATAGCTACGAGCTACTCTATTGTTCCAATACCTAAGTACCAAAATGTTAAGTTCAACGGATGTGAATACTTTACAGCAGGACACACAGACAGAGTTTTTCTCCGCTGCCATGCAGACGGCCGGACACACACACACACACACACACACACACACACACACACACACACACACACACACACACACACACAGATCAACCGACAGGAAACAAGATGACACATTGAGAGAGGAGCTGCAGAGCTGCAGCGGCGGTGCTTACACGTCTGCCTTTAGTCGGGCCGACGGACGGCGAGCGCTTCAGTGGCAAGAAGAGAGGCAGAGAGTGACAGAGACACACAGCGGTGATTATTACGCAGCTGAAAACACCTTTCAACAGACTGAGGGAGGAAACGTGATGATGGGAGAGCGGGGAGGATTCGGTGACATCAGGCAGTGCTTACCGAAACCTGCTAGTCTGAAACACTCTAAAGTGTTTTCAGCAACAATGTGAGGTTTTTACAATAGATGTATTCAATATTTCAGTTACACAGGTCTCAGTTGGGAAGCACTGCATTAGATTGTTGTTTGTACAACTGAGGGGCTCTGATGACGGGAGCTAAAATGAGTACTGATGTAAAAAACACAATTACAAGGAAAAGGAAGTACGGGAAAGTAAACATAAAGTGTTGTTATATCTAAGATTCTAGCTAACAATCTAATAAACAGCAAAATGAGGATATAAACAAGTAGCTGGTAGATTCTCAGCTCTGTTATTAACAGATAATAAACATACCTCTTCCTAAACCAACATGGCTGCCCTCTGAGTGTCCTACAGGGTAAAGCTACATCTACACGAGTTTATAACACACCCACGATTAAACTTACATCTTCCCAAAACTCAATTAAAGAAGATGAGGATGAGGAATAAGAGTCCTGATGTACCAGAGTGACGCAAAGAAAGCAACCAAAAACAAATAAAAAAAATAAAATCAGAAGAATTCACATCAACAAAAATCATGTGGACGACATAAGATGATTGTTAGCATTTCAGATGACGGCGACTTTATTCAAACTCACATCGAACTGGTCGAGGGCCGAGGTGGGGGCGTTGAGGAAAGCCAGGAAGGAATTCTGGGAATCCTGGTGCTTGACACCTATAGACCCGGAGCGAATAACACCGCTGTGGTTAGGAATTAGAGCATCAAAGGCTGACTGGAACAGAACGGGTCACAGGACCGTTTTTAAGAATACAGAGCAGGTTTCATATGACCGGAGCAACAATGCATGTTTGTGTCGCGAGCTCAACACCATGTCTCACATATGTGTGCTGGAGCAAAGCCAAATCCTCTTTCACTGAGGTAATCTCTGAAGAAATGTGGTATCCATGAACACACAGCTCTTACTCAGAAGAAGGCCATTGTCGTTATCAAAAGATGCATTTTTAAAGGGTCAGTATTATAGTGCCATACTATAGCCCAATCAAGGAACTATGTTACCTTCAGTTGTTATAAAAATGTTGTATATATCAAATATGATTTAAAAGAAATCAGGCCTCTGTCTCTTTACAAACTCTTCCTCTTTCTGAAACTCACAACAAGGCTCCTTTATTAACCTTTTTACCAGCGTTGCTCTTAGAGGTAGCTCCTCTAATGAGCTCAGCAGATGCTCAGTTCCACCAGGTGTTTGCTAATTGCTGCTGGCTAGTCTGAAGGAGCTGAGTGGGTCTGAAGCTTTGAAGCTCGGAAACTGCAGCTCCAAGGAGCAGCTGTGTCTCGGAGGTGGGGTTAGGTCCCAGTACAAGGGATTTCTCAAACGTGTGACGGAATCGAAGCAATACTCCAGGTATGTTTTTGATAAAGGAATAACATTATAACATGATGCAAAGCTCAAAATAGTCGATTTTACATGATACTTCCCCGTTAAATAACAGAAACATCTAGAATAGATGCTAGAGTGCAGGGATGAGGCCGTACCTCTTCGCAGCCGTAGCTCCTCCGTCTCCTTCTTCAGCCTCTCGATCTCAGCCAGCAGCTCCTGGTTTCTACTCTCCACCTCCTTCAGTTTACTGTAATGAATCACATTTGGTTCAGGGAGACGCTTACAGTACGTTAGGCTGTTAACGCTAAAGTAAGGCGTACCATTCGGTGGAAATGCCGTCCGCCTTGACTTTATTCAGCTCGTCCTGAATGCTCTGCTTGGCTTTGATCTCCGTGTCCAGTGCCGACTGCAGCTCCAGACGGGCCGACATGTCCAGCTTGGCGAAGCGTCGCATCTTCCACGGCATGTCCTGAAACACAGAGGAAATGATGCGTTTTTAAGCCAAACTTCAAAAATCACAGCCTCTGTTTTTGTGTGAAATATGTTAAGATCAAGATGATCAACAAGTCATATCACAACAGAGAGTAAAAGGTGCTTTATTATCATAGCGCTTCACCAAAAATCCTGCATATGGGGAACAAAACCAGAGATTTTTGAGGACTGAAGCTATACAAAGTTATGCTTGACGTGTCGACAAAACATTATGTAGCTTTTTCTGCTGAACTGATTCATTTTGGAGGAGCATTTTATAGAAACTCTGGTTCAGATGAGCGTTTTAAATAAATGTTGCCGCCAAGAAAATTAGGGGCTTGGATGGGCTTTATTAATATCCGCCCTTGTTAAATGACCCATGTCAGAAATAATGCATCATAATAGTTTCATAAACCATCATCAGGTAGTGTTAGACTACAACAATAACATGGCAGATCTTTAGACAAAGTGTCCCCTGAGAATGATAAAAACGGTTTGTGTTTGTTTACCGTTGCTCTCGCTCCAAGGCTGGTGTTTCTCAGACCCTCCAGCTCCTCGGTCATCTTAGTGGCCAAAGCCTGAAGGTAACCCCGAGCGTCCTTCTCATCACTCACCCTGCAACACACACACACACACACACACACACATCCTCATTTAAAAACTGCTCCATTCTTTAAAAGCGAACATCTACAGAACATTGACTTTTGGCTCAGAACTTTGAAAGTTGATCAATTAAATTCAGTTTGGTTCAGTAAATGTTGTTTAGAAAAACCCAGAAAAAAAAAGCAATGGAAATTTATTTGTGTAATATGATGGAGTGGTAGGGTTAGACGAAGAGTTTTTTTTTTTTTTTTGTTAAATTATGAGAATAAAGTCAGAATATTGGCAGAATAAAAAACACAAAAATAACCGGAAGAAAGTTGTAAAATTACAACTGAATTTATGCCCGTATTATTATGACTGTTCTTGTAAAATAACTTTATTATTGTCTAATTATGACTTTTTTCTTGTATTATTTTATCTTACTGCTGGACAACTTTGTCTTGCAATATTAGGGCTGTTTTCTCACCAGTTAATGCTAAGAAAAAATAAAAATGTAATAAAAAATTCTTGCTCTAAATGTCTACTGAGAAATAACTGAACTAATACAGACATGCAGTTCCTCCTGTGCCGTGGCAAAGCTCCACCAGCAGAGGGCGACATTGGCTACCAGATTCCTCCAGAGGAAACGTGCCCAGCTCAACATTTGTATGTGCATGTCAGGAATGCGTTGCGGCTATGGAGCTGAAAGCGTGTTCCTGTGGTTCGGCGTGTCTGTGTGGGGTATGCACACTATGCCAAGACTTCAGGCCCGTCCAACTGAGAAGTGGGGAGGAAAGGGGGGGGGTAGAGCAGTTGGTGAAGTGTCAGCTGTGATGGGAGAGGATCTGAGAGGAAGGGAGGGTCAAGCGGCTCGACCGTCTTCAGAGGTATGCGAGACACGCCGCAGCTTTACAGTGAAGAGGAACCCAATCTGTGTGTGTGTGTGTGTGTGTGTGTGTGTGTGTGTGTGTGTGTGTGTGTGTGTGTGTGTGTGTGTGTGTTTCTACGCCATGGCTCGAGTGGAAAAGTAAGAGGCCTGTCAGGGCTGCGCTTTGGGTCACTTGAGAAGGCGGCTGTGTCTTACCACTGGATGATCTCGGTGATCTGGGCCTCCCAGTGGGCCACGCTCTCCTTTTTGTCAGCCAGCTCCCTCATCTCATCCTCCAGCTGCTGGTTGGAGTTGTTCACCTTCTCAAACATCCCGCTCAACTGGGGGGAGAGCAGCAGAAAACGTCCCCAATCATAAAGCTGTCGTCAGACGCCTGACATCTGACTGATGAAACACGTTAAAATAAAAGTGGGCTAATGAGTTTAACAGACTTTAACTGGACCGCATTAGAACTCTGAGTCCGTCCATTTACACACCAATGTTAAGAGAACTCTGTTTTGATTCCTTTCAGCGATAGGGGCTTGTGTGTGTATGTTTATGTAGATGTCACCATGGCGACATCAATGCAGGTCTCAAACTGCCTGACTGTTTTTCTCAATCCTCTTTAATTTGTGGACACGTTTATTGTGACGCGACGAGCAAGCAGAGACCAACTTCCTCTTGTTTTGGGTTTCCTCTCCAAAGAAACGTTCCCGTCTAATTTCACAACAGAAAAGCTTCACAGAAGCTGTAGAGAAAAAAACACGTCTTAGCGTGGTGTAGCAAAGAATCATGACCTCACATCCAGACGCAATGAGGTCATTGTAATTATGGCTTTTAGAGCCATTTTAAAGGTTCTGCCAGGTGATGAAATGACCACTAGAAACTCTTAGTGAGTAATTATAGAGTTGTGAAGCTTCTTGGTAGCTTTACTGGATAGAAAAGGTTTAGGGAGTTGGAAAACACCTTTTTGCTTGTAAATGTTTTACAATCCCAAAGGTGGGTGGCGGTCAACCGTCCCTTTGACACTTCATGCATTTGCTATTTCAGCTGCTTCATATTTAATTTTCATTTTTGAAACGATGCCATGAACTGCTGGATGAGTCTGGAATTAAACCACTATTGAAAAGTGATGATCTTAATCTGAAACTTGAACTTAAAATACTTAAAATAAACTTAAAATAAATTATATAGATCACCAGGAAGTTGTTTAAAGTTCTTCCGATTTAAATTGTCGTATTTTATTGTCAGTTGGTTTAAACATGGACCACAACCAAAACGTAGTAAAAGGTTTTAGCATAATTTACAAAGTAATTTATCTTCTCAAATAAATAAATAAATGAATAAATGAATGAATAAATGAATAAATGAATGAATAAATAAATACATAAATAAATAAATAGGGCTGCACTGACTGCAGTTTTCTAGCTGATAACTGATCTTTCAAAAGCCTGACCTGTAGATTCCAATTTCAGTCAATACTGATATTTATGTTTTTGTCTCTGAAAAGTCACTACATATAGTGACAAGGTGGCTAATTTGGCAACACTGGCATGACTATTGTTAACCACAAACATGCAGATGTGACCTGGTGGCCAGGTCTGTCAATCAGCTCTCTTTCATGACAATCTCAAGTTTAAGTAATCCAAAAAGTAAGGAAATTGGGGTTCATTTATCAGTGTACCCCTATAAATAAATATGGCAACAATTTGGGTTTAAAATTATTTGTCTACAGGTACAAAATCATCAGGGTGTCTACAGGTTTTACCAACTCTAATTTAATGCTTTTCAAGACTATTCATATTTTATATTGTAGTAGTGCTGAGGTTCATTGAATCAAGTATACGTGACATCGTGTGGTTTGGCAACAGAAGTGAGCCAGTGGCGAAGATGAACTTCGTCCAGCCAACTGCTGATAAATTTACACTTTCAAATGAAAGCTAGCTAACTAGTAACAGCATATTAGCGGGTGGCTAGCGATAGCCTCAACTATTTCCATTCAGAATGGAGTGAAGATGTCTATGCGCAACTCAAACTAAATAGATTATAAAAGATTAAGAAGTCCTGCTGCAACAAAATTTAAGACCTGTGATTAACTTTTTTTTTTTTTTTTATGAATTTAGCATTTTAAGGCCTTAATTTTAGACACACAAGTTTAAGACTTTTAAAGGGTGCACAGACACCCAGAAAGCAATGAGGACGTTCATCATAGAGGAGAAAACAAGGTCTTCATTGGCATTCAGATCTAATCAATCCAACACAATTCAAAAACCTACAACACACTTCAGTGATTTGACTGCAGTGGCAGCCATGATTCTCCTGATTTCCCTCTGTGTTTTATCACTTACAGACTTTAAAAACACACTCAGATTGTACTCCACAGGTCAGAATGCCTTCCAGTTATTAGAGACCATTTAAAGAGGGAGGCTGAAGGGGGGGGGCCCTTTTTGAACTTCCAGGAGCCGGTTCCAAAGTCAACACAGCTAGATCCAGCGTCTATCCGAATGTGCTACAGGCTACAGGCTGTTTGTGAGGGGAATATTGTACAGTGATTTCTTTGGCATAGCTGGGAGAGAGGGGGTGGAGGGAGGAATGCGACAGGCTTTCCAAGAAGGGTTACCTGGGGTTACAGCACTAGGGGTGGGAGGGGGTCTCAGAGTGACTGTGTGTAATGGGGACAAACAAATCATGGAAAAGCTGACAATGCACTACAGAAAAGTAAAAATAAAAGCTGTTTTAGACTCGTATGCATTCATAATGACTTCTGTTAGACACAGGAACACATACTGTACCTTGTCTAATTCACTGGACAGCTTCTTATTCTCCTCAGTGAGGAGGATTCTTTCACGCTCATATTTCTGCTTGTACTCCGTCTCAAACTCTTCACGCTCGTTTTGGCTGCAAAAAACACACACACACACACACACACTGTTACTGTAGGAACTTAACCACCATCTGTTAGTGAGATCCTGACCTCTGGCTGTGGCTGCATTGGAAAATATTCCTCAAATAAACTTGGTAAATATACAGCCGAGTGTTTCAGCTCGACTTTTCTTTAAACTGTGACTCTCTTTGTTCCTGAGAGTCGCAGCTGAATCAAAGACTGAACCAAAAGCTGTCGCTCGTTTTTTTAAGCCCGACACATTACTGCAGTTAGAAGCTGATCCAGCGGCGAGCTTAAAAAGGAATTAGGCAGCCGTGAAAATAATACATCAGCAGCAGCAGGCAGGAAGGTAAGTCTACGGGGCTAAAAAACAACCTCTAAAGCTTCCTGAATATAAATATGAATCATGTGGTGTCAGGTTATTTTTTCTGTCAGGCTGAACGCCGCTCTGGAAAACGCTTGCTGACGGATAAAATTCACTAACAATTACGTCTCCTATTGCGATGGGGGTTTTCTTTGCTTGTTCAACAGAAGTCTTTTTGGAGAACTTATAGTTAACATCAATTATCCCATAGTGACAACCATGTTCTCTAATGTTAATGGACTGTACGGCTAAAATAAACTGAAACATGTGGGGTGTAAAAACAACTACTTCTAAAAATATATCAGGAAAACATCATCCACCCTTATTTTCACTAAGGATGCACCGATTGCAGTTTTCTGGCCGATCACTGATTTTTAAAAAGCCAATTCAGATTTTTTTTGTCTGAAAAAACAGCGGTGGTGACTACTGTTAGTTGCGCAGAGTGTGGGTAAGTATCAGCTGATCACCCAAAATTAAGGAAATCGGAGTCGATTTAGTTATATTTTCATGGTCAGCTGGCTATGTTTTACAGGAATTTAAAGAAAAAGTTTCTAGTTTCAAAGTGTACAGACACCATAGTGTGGAAACTAAAAGGACAGCCATCATCTTTTTTTTTTTTTTTTTTTTTTTGGTTAATATCATAATAGAGCGGCGGTTTTACTGGAGGCTATCGTAGCGTGAAAACCTCCTGCTAGCCCACGCAGAGCGCAGAGATTTGCAACACAAAAAGCAGTGATGTGACTCACAGAGGCCCCAGATCAGTTCTGGGGCCCCAAGCAGCTGAATAGTTTGCTGAAGCCTTGAGAAGATAAAAATTAGATTATTTGTGCCAACAAATCAGAACAGGGCAGCCATCTCTGTGATGGTATTAATGTTCATACACATATCTAACTACAGAACGACAAAAGGGACTAAATTAAATAAATAACATCGTTAAATAATTTATTAAATATACCGTAAAATAATTAAGTGGTGAATTAAAGGTTTAAATTATGTATTTATTACACATTTTATAAAACATGTTTTAAAAATCAATAAGATTCAATATTATAATAGTGTCAAATAGTATAATTAATTGTGTATTTAATTATTTCACGGTTTCTGCAGAATCACCATGAAATACTTCGATCTGTTAAACTTGCCATCAAAGTCGAGGGGTGGGGTTATGGGCGGGGCTAAAACTCATCTGATGAACTCCACTAGTTCAGTCTGATTCTGTGAAAATGATTCCACTTTCCGTCTAGTCTGTTAATTGTAAAATATCTCCAAGGAAAAGATTGTGAATATCTACCATCTGAAGATGGTTTTCAAAAAATGAGGCTGAAGTAGTTGAGTTTGACAGATCTACCAATATAAATTTGCATTTTAATGATTTAATGACATATTAAATATTTAATTAAGAATTTATATATTTCCTTTTCATATTTAATTAGTAATTCAATTATATTTTTATTTAATTTTGTCCCTTTTGGTCCTCCGTATACAACATGCTTAAAATGTAGCTATACAAGAACTCTGAGAAAAGACAGTCATCAGGACAGGATCCTCTGGGAGACTACAGCAAATACATCACAGCTATTTATCTGTAATTACCTCACAGTATCACCACTGTAAAAAAAAACATAAAATAAAATGAAAAGTCTTGATCAGATCAGATTGCTGATTAACAAGCCAGAGCAGAGACAGAGGAACAGTCTCACCTCTCCCGGCGGATCTTGTCCAGTTTGTCTTTCAGCATCAGGATCTCTTTCTGCAGGTTGAGCTGCTGGCTCTCGGCGTCCCTCAGCTCTTTGCGCAGCGCCTTGAGCTCGGTGCTGTGCTGCGCCTCTCTGCGCGCCAACTCCTCCTCGTACAGCAGCGTCTTCTTCTCCATCTCCGCTCGCAGACGCCCCACCTCTTGCGTCTGGTCGGCTGAAGCCGGAGCGGCCGGAGAGCCGACCTGCTTCACCTGGAGAGCCAGAATGATTAGAGATTTAAAAACAGAGCGGCAACGGGATTCCTGGGATGGGACGTGCTGTGCTGCATCCTCACCTTAAGTCCTTCCAGTTCCTCCTCCAGCTGGCGGCTGTACTGCTCGTTGCGCTCTCTCAACTTCTTCTCTTTCTGAGCCTCGGCGGCTTGCTCCTCAGCCTGAACCTCCATCTGGTGATGGACATACGCGGACTGATTGGAGACCAACATTCAGCTGATATGACTTCCTGAACATGATTCCTACACATCCCCCTTAAAGGGGCAGTAACATGTGTTTTCCAGACACATGGTGCCATTTTATTTAACTATCTAGTATCTATGTCACGTTCAGTTATTATAAAAATTTGATATATATAAAATATGACTTAAAGAACTTTGATTTTGTAATTTAACGCCTTAAATTGGACCTCTGTCTCTTTAAGAAGCTCCTACTCTTTCTGAAACTACACCTGCAGGAAGTCATCAGAATATGGCTCCACTATTAACCGCTCAACATTTTTACCAGTGTTTCACTGAGAAGTAGCTCAGCAGATACTCAGTTCCACCAGGTGTTTGCTAATTGCTGCTGGCTAGTCTGAAGGAGCTGAATGGACAGAAACTGCAGCACCAAGGAATAGCTTTGTCCTCGAATCCGGGGCTAGGTCCACCAAGACAAAACACAGCTGAATGGTTGCCATGGGAGATTAAAGGATGTATGTTTGAGGATTTCTCAAACATACAAGAAAGAATCAAGGCCAACACTCCAGGTACGTTTTGATGAAGGAAGAACAACATGATGCGAAGCTCAAAATAGTCAATTTTGCCCCTTTAAGCACATTTTGGATAAACGGATGGGCAGATGGATGGATAGGTGGAAACACACATCTGGAAATAAATTTTTTTATCCTTCATTTTCTTTTTCCATTCTTCCCCAATCCTAGAAAATACTTTAATTCCACATTCTTTCCAGACCATTTAGGACCTTGAAAGAAAACAACACTAACCTAGAGATGTTAGTATAGTTTTTTTGGTAACTATATTCTACAGCTTTTCTGATTATGGATGGTGTCGGTACTTGGGAGTGAAACTAAAGAGTAAAAGAAAGCCACACCTAGGATCTGAGGAAAGGCAATAAAAGTGGAAGGCTAACCGGAGGTTGAAGTGTTTACCGACCAGCAGGTGCAGACAGAGAAAGGTGTTGCTACCAGTCACAGGGAATCTACTCTACCTCCTTCTTGGCCCTCTCAGCCTTTCGCACCTCAAGGCGGAGAGCCTCCACCCTCTGATTCTGGCTCTCCATCTCCTCCTCCTTGTCACGCAGCTGGCGAACCAGGCGCTGCTTTACAGACCTGCCAGGACAGTTCAAATCTAAGGGTTGCTGGTTTTATGCACAGCAAAAAAACCTTGTTTCAGGACAGAACAATTAGTCCAGGAAAACACGAGTGCGCAGGGTTCTACCTGAACTCTGTCAGCTTCTCATTGAGCTCAGAAAACTCCTGCATGGCCAGCTTCCTCTGGCTGTGGGCCTCCTTCAGCTCTTTAGACTGGGACTTCATTTTCTCACCCGCCTCCACAAGGCCCTGCTCAGAGCGGAGAGAGAAACGGGAATCATTTCACATCTTCAACAAAACTTTGTAGTTCAATGTTTACCAAAAAAAAAAAAAGCCATCTTCATCAGGGTTTCTGTAGGTTTCACCAAATCAAATTTAAGTCAAATTTAAGACTTTAAGACTTTTTGAAGACCATTATGAATTAAATTTAAGACCTGAACCACGACAGAAATTTAGAGAAGAAAATTACATATTTTGCAACATTCTCTACAGTCTGAACCCCCTGCAGATTTTTTGGGACAGAACGCAGCTAGCCTCGTATTGGTTAGCCAACTGGCAATAAATCTACACTTACCAATGATGGATGCAAAAAGTCCAACTAGCTAGCAAAGGTATGCTAGCAGCTACTTAGCAATCATGATGTCGGCTTGCAGCTTAAACAGAAAGTCCAGCAAAAAAGTCCAGCAAAAACAAAAACTACATACAGACTAAATTGTTCTATCACAACAACATTTTAAGACTTCATTAGCATATTTAAGGCTAAATTAAATTTTTTAAATTAAATTTTAAGGCCTTCATTTTGGATACACTAGTGTAAAACATTTTAAGCCTTTTTAAGGATCCCCGTTTATACAGATTTGTGTATAACTGGATTACGGATGCAGTGAAAGTGTAGAAATATTCTTAAAGGAAAACCCTTCCATCACTGATTAGGTCAGAAAACCTGAAATAAAAATCAGACGAGCAGCAGAGGTGAGAGTTTTTACCTTCTGTAAGTTTTTACCTTCTGTAAGTCATCCCTCTCCTGTGTTAGGCTCTTCATCCGCTTCTCCAGACTCTTGATGTGTTTGGACGAGTCCTCCAGGTCCCTGCGAGCCGACGTCACGTCCTCCAGCTGCTTCTCCAGTTGGCCGGAGTCTGACACAGGGATGCATTTGAGTGAGAACATGAAGTTTGACTTTCAGTGTGGGTTTCTACAGAGGCGGTCTGTTTTTACACCCTGACCTGCGATCTGCTTCTTGAGAATGTCGATCTCGCTCTTGAGGCTCCTGATCTCCACTTCCTTGTTGGAGCTGACTGGTCCCTCTCCTGTTGGGTGCTGCAGGGCCTGCACAGCCTGAGTCGACTCTGTAAAGGGGAAAACGACCGGGTTTGTTGAACCAGTGGAGGTTCAATTCACCACCATACACTAAGAACAGATGAGGCATTGGCAGAAGCTCACCTTGCAGTTTGCGACTCAGCTCTAGTTTCTCCTGCTCCAGGCGACGTATCCTTCTCTCATAGGCCTCAGTGGCCAGGCTGTCCTCTAGCCTGCGCTGGACATCCAGGTCCAACTGGTCCTGCCCTGCTTTACCCGGATCCACGGCCAGCTGTCGGAGGCAGCCCCGGTCCGACAGGGAACTACAAGGCAAGTAAACGGTGAAAATTAGATTTCTAATCCAAGGTTTCACCAAATTACCATGGAGATAACCCTGATTATTTGACTAACGCTCTCCTTTCCTGGACTATCAGTTTAGGAAGATTAATTCATTCATTTAGGCATATCAGAATTAATAGGGTCCAAAACAAATGTGTGTTATACTTGTCAGAAAGATTGACAAAATAAGAGAAAAAACAGAAGAGAGAAAGAAAGACAAAGAAAAACAAAGGAAGGAGGAAAAGAGGAATAGAGAAAAAAACACTAAGAAAAAAAGGCAGAAAGAAAGATGTAAAAAAAGAAAGAAAAAAAGACTGAAAAAAAGAAATACGGACAGAAAAATAAGAAGGAAAGAGAGATGTAAGGACAAAGACAGGCGTAAAGAAAGAAAATAAAAAAAGATGGAGAGAAAAACAGACAGAAAATTAAACCGAAAAAAGAAAGCAAGAAAGAAGCCTTCTATTTCTTTAAGAAAAAAAAAGACATTTTTTATTTTAACAGGAACACACTTTCCAGTTCATCTCACCCAGTTAGAGTGAGCTCAGGAACAACTCCTCAAAAACACACACATCACCACAGCCTGAATCCAGCAGTGATTCAGAGGATTACACTCACCATTTACTTGTATAGGTGAAACCCACAAACGGCAGGTGATGGCCAGAGAAGGCAGTGTGAGAGGGAGGAGGCATAGTCTCCTGAAAGTCAGGAAACAACAGGAGAATTAGGTGATTTTTACAAAATATAACAAATACTGCATATATTTGTTATGGAGCATTTGGTCTTGTTTTACTAAATAAGACCTTACCGAATTCTTTAGACAGTCATCGTCTACGTCAAAGTTAGAGGTATCTGTAGGACTGCTGACTTCTGGGATGTAGGGGGCCTCACACGTACGAATGTTGTCCCAGTCAATGCCTGAAAGCAGCAACAACACAAGTTGGTACAATTAACAACACCACACAATGACACAATGAATTCCGATTAAAATGCTATAATAATAATAAGTTATTATTATAATAATTCATGATATTGAGGTATAAGTGATGTCAGGTATGTAATTATATTCACACTGAGTATCAGGATGAGGAAGAACTCTGTGTGTACCAGTGAAAAACGTGTGCTGTTTGAAGTCCTCAATGCCGTTTTGACCCAGCCTGTGTTCCCGACTGCAAATGAGGCGGCGAATCAGATCTTTCGCTTCCTCTGACACGTCTGTTATCTGCTGTGGGAACTGGAATCGCTCCTGTTGGAAGGAAATGACATCAGACAGCTGAGAGTGTGAGAAAACAACAAACGAAACCCGCCGGTCGGCTCCGCTAAACTCCAGTTGGCTCACCTTGTGGTTCATGATTTTCCCGTAGGTTTCAACCAGGGATTCTGCATAGAAAGGAGTCTCCCCGTACAGCATCTCGTACATGCAGACGCCCAGGGACCACCAGTCGCACTCGGGTCCATACTTGCCCTTCCCGTCTTCCATCGCCTGGAGGATCTCGGGGGAAATGTAATCTGGAGTTCCTACTGCCACAGAGGACTGGACCTGGCAGTGGAAAGCAAAACACCACTTAGGATCCAATGAATCCATTGAATGGAACGCGGCAGAGAGAGCGTAAACATAAACACACCCTACAATCACACAAATCTGATTATTTTTTTTTTATTTTTTATTTTTTTGCTCAGATCTGACACATCTCTGACTTTTTCACCACAGTCTGAATGGCACAATTCCAATCTTTTATAAAAACATCTGATTTCCTCCATTTCTGTATGTGGTACTGAAACAGATACATAGTTTGTAGTTTTCAGAGCGTCTGCAGTCAGAACAGTCATGTTCAGTTTCATTAAACTTTAGGTCGTTAATGTGAGACATGTCAGAATTCTGCAGCAGAAGAAGAAGTCAGTGAAGCATCACAGTCCCACCACTCTAAGCTCCAACTACACACCCAAACACACTTCTCTATAGAAGTTGCAGTCAATGCTCCACAAAAGACCATCGCTATTAGTTGTGCCATACTTTTTTCATCTTCGTTTGCCTTCTTATGATTTTGTGACAATTCTGTCAGTTTCTGTTGCTGAATAAACCAACATCAATCCGTTGTTACTTCAGTAAACAGTGTGCTGCTGTGTGACGTCTACGTTCTTATTCTGCACAGTAAACCGTTCACACAGGAGTCTGATTGCAGTCGCATCATTCAAAGAGTTGCTTTTGAGTTATAATAAAGGAAATGCTGACCAACATATTTGATGTGTATTGATGATGTTGATGATGTAACGTTTGTAGCCGTTTTTCTCAATTTTTGACCGAGTGGTGTCTGTTATGAGTTTGCATTTCTGTGTTTTTATGATGTGAAGCACTTTGAACTGCATTGTTGCTGAAATGTGCTACACAAATAAACTTGATTTACTGATTGGTTCACTAGTATTAACCACGACTAAATAAAAAAAAAAATTGTATTCCAGCAAAAAATCAGAATAGAGCATGAAAACCTGCCTTGTGCCTTAGAGAAAGGCAAACATCAAGACGAAGGATGATGAAGTTACATTTAAAGACTTCTCAGAGTATAATAAAAATAAATGAATGTGAACAGTGAGGTTTCTTTTTTCAATTCATTTTATAATGCAGATTCATGGCAGTGTTACAGTCACTGGTTATGACTTGGGTTTCATTTCATCAGTGGTGGCTCAGCAGTAGCAAGGCAGACAGGAGAGGCTCACTGCAGTGTCCTGACTCGGTTCAGGATTCAGTGCAGGAGCAGGGCTGTGATCGTCGTCAGAGGATCTTCAGACCGACTAAATGAACTTTATGAAACCGTTAGCCAGGCTGCTCAGCAACATCTAAAGCAAAACCACACAACTCCTACACATATTTCTTCCTTCAAGCTGTCAGAATGCTGTAAAAATGAAGTAAAGATATCAACTTTAGGACCACCTCATTTTTAATCAAAGTTATCCTGGTTTTGTTTAAAATGTGTAGCATATTTGCTCATAGCATTATTGTGTTCACCCAACATTCAGACTCCAGTAGAGAGAGGATCCTCTTAGGTGTTTTGTATTATCAAGTACAGAGTGATGCATGAACGCTTCGAGGCTTAATTACGAAGATTGTTTTGATAAGTTTGACACTTATCAAACTGCTTTAGGCTACAACAACAAAAAAAAAAAACATGCATCATGTTACTAAGCAGTACCCATTGGAAAAGTTAGGGGTTAGTGGAGGAGGCGGAGGTTTTCTTTTCCATGCCTTCTGAATGTTGAAAGATGAAGAAATTGCCATCTTTGCACAGATAAAGTAAAAAAAAAAGCAGCTATGTTTAACATTTAAAATATGTTTCTGCCTTACAAACACTGCCTTCTGCTGCTGTCTCCATTTGACAAAAACAAAAAAGCAATTCTAAGATCTTGTTAACTAAATATGGTGCTTAAAAATAGTTTATGTTACATTTTACATTGTTGTACCTTTGCTATGTTTACGTAGCAGTTCTGCTTCCTCTCCTCATAAACATCTTTTTGTGCTATTTAGTAAAGTACACCATTTAAATGAATTAATGTAACTGATTAAAACAAGGAATCTTATTTTTTTTGGGGTAACTGGAGTCTCTGCATCACTTTCATCCCACTTTCAGACTTGGAGCTGTTGCCCTTATTATTAGCATTTTCCGCTCTGTAATCTTTCATTTCATCTCTTCAGTTTTCCTTCCTGTAACATCAGGAGAATCGTCTGAATCGCAACCTGCAAGCCAGACCAAGCAGCCGAACCGCACACTCCTCATGGGAGACCCCCAGGGTTAAGGCAGCGAGGTTAGTAAAACTCTGGTTTTGTTTGCTTTGGACCGGGAGGAACAACAGCAGCAGCGGCGGCAGCAGCGCAGTCAAAACCTACCGTCCCATCCTCCATGAGCTTCAGGCAGGAGCCGAAGTCGGCCAGGCGGATGTGGCCGTTCATATCCAGCAGAATGTTGTCAGGCTTGATGTCCCTGAAAAGAGAGAGAGGGGAGAAAGGGACAAAAGGAAAGAAGGGGGAAAAAAGTCAAACTGAGTGAGCGGTTCCTGAAAACGCCTTCCAATCAAAACACCTTTTAGGACATCCAAAAAACACACACTTCATCATCTCGTATTCCTGGGAGCTGCGATCGGTTCTCATCAGGAATTCGAGCGGTCTTGATTTGCCTGTAAATACGGCGGATAATAATTCAGCTCAGTTCTGTGATTGAATTAAGTGTAATTTTCCTTTGGCTCCATTTATCAGCAGTAGGATAAGTTGAAATTGAATACAGAGAAAAATGAGTTGAGTGTATGATTTGGGAATTAGCTTTACACACAGATAAAAGAAAGATAAACCAACCTACTGCGTTATTCCTTTTCCTGCTGTTTTTGTGGAAAAAAGGAGGTTGCCAAACAGTTTCTGTACGTTTTCGTGTTCCCTGCATCTGTTCTGCATTATTACTGCTGATGGTAAGTTTACATTTTCACATACAGCCTGTGGTTTGACTCCAGTCAGCAGAAAATAATTCTACCTTAGGATACAAGGTTTTCTTTCCTCCCTCTCCACCACCTAAATTGGCTGAATGTTTTTTTGTATCAATCAGCATCTTTCACCCTGACCTCACCGTTTCACATTTTCACACTTAGACCAAATCATGAGACCGACATTTATTTCCCTTTGATCCCACAGTCATTTAGTTAAAGTTTAGTCCAAGTCGCTTTTTTTTTTTTTTTAAAATACCCAGTTCCAGACGGGATTTTAGTCTGAACAAGACAAAAACACTTCTATCTGTTGTTTATTCAAACTTCACCAGGCTTTCTCATTTTCAAGAAACGCCTCTGTGTCACCGTTATATTTATATCCAAGGAAAACAAAAAGTATTGAGTTACTGACTAAAGATTCTCCAGCCCTCTGATCAACTTCAAAGGGCAAAGTACACATTGAAAAGCTTCACCTGCTTTAACATTAAACTCTTCGGGGTTTCAGTAATGTTGCTACAGCAGATTTGATGGGAAAAAAAAATATATTGCTTAACAGTGGAGTTTGATCCCCCTGGATTAAAAGTTTGTTTTTCAAAATTGTCCCAACAAAAAGCAGAAGAGCATCAAACTGGTACATAACGTTTATGGAAAAATTCAGCTAGTCTGGCTTCTCCTAGTGCTAACAGGAAACAACCAATCAGAGCGCATTGGCAGAACTTATCACTGTCAATCAGCTTGTGTACTCGCTGCTGACATCCTCCCCTTACTCTCTGCTACGCTACTGCTAGTTCCCCACAACCAGTCCTGCCATGAATGCTAAGGCTAGTTAGCATAACAGTAAATAAACAGTTTTTCTGTAACAGTTATGTTGCGTACACTGGAATGATTGACAGCACTAAGCTCCTCCTCCTGGCTCTGATTGGTTGCTTTTGAGTGAGAGAGGTGCATTTCTTCAGATGACAATAGCAGCACTGGGAGGAGGCAGAGCAGATTGATCTTTACACAGATGATCTGTGTCGTGTTACACAGTCAGGACATGGTGACAGTTTTAACAAATATGGAAAAAACATATTTTTGTAAAAGTTACATACAGCAACTTTAGTGATGCCATTTCTAGGCGCTAAGAGGAGTCAAGTGTGTAGAGAACAAGGGACAGGACATCAAATATGATCTCTGACAGGTGGTCAGGGGTGACTTTAATTGAGCCCTAGACTGCTATAAAACAGAAACACCACAGTGACCCACTAACCAGACTAAATATAGTCTGTCCCTGTCATAAAAGCTTTCTACAAAGGAGTGTGTGTTAGAATAATATTTTCTAACACACAGCACAAAGCAAAACTCAAACATCCCCAGTTAGGCTAAACGCCCACTCATTTTGTTTCATCATGGGCGTGAGTGTTTCTGTCCGGTGACTCAAGCGTGTTCCCGCTTAAAATAGCAAACCTGAGGCTTGAAACAGGAACACAGTCAACCAGCGCGGCTCCCAACTCATGTCAGCTTTTGCTGTTGTGATTGGCTCCGGCCACCGACCATACGCCAACTAACACCCACCCTAGAGACGCTCACACCTGCTCTACAGCCCTGATTTATAAGGCTTCTCTGTAATCTACTGCAAGGAAAAGATGGCAATGAGGCTACAGGAAGTGGTTTCTGTCAGCATACAAAAAGTACTAATTAACACACAGTAAAACTAATTAAATTTGACATTTGAGAATTTTTTTTTTACAGCTGCATGATATTAGAATATCAAGCAACGAGGATTTTATTGAGAAATATTGGATTTTCTTCACACTTTGTTCCCCATTTACTAAATGAAACTGAATCTCATGTGAAAACTGAAGCAAAACAAACACTTTACACTGAAAGTGTAAACTGAATGAAAAAGCCAGAGCTTATTATTTATTTATCCAAAAAGCTGAATGTTACAGTAATGCTCTGCATCTAAAGTGTCAGCCTGGACTAAATCAGTCAACAATGTTTTCCAAAAAGCCTCCTGTGATATTTTTACTACACCCACTGACACTGAGATGACGTTTTATTCGCAACCATAAATGGTATGATTACTTTTCTTTGTAATTGTCAATGAAATGGATAATCCTCCACTAAGAAACTGAGTGAAATTGATTCGCAGTGCTTAAGCAAAATGTTGTTTTTTTTACCTCTAAGAAAACGAGACATGACGAGGCGGCTAAAAACACAAAAACTATTCTGAAATAAATGACCAAAACAAAACAAATTTGGATGATTCGGTCTAATAAATTTTGCAGTAAGTGACTAATTCAGGCTGAATATAGCTCTCTGTTACCAAACATCAGGAAGTAAACAGTTCAAGCCAACGAGGCACCCTTATATTAGTTTAAGTTCCTCAGTGATGCAAGTCCTGCCCACACCAGGGAGATTTTCCATCTTACAGCAGCGACAGACTTTCAAAGACTGCTCTGATGTCAACCGAGGTCTCTTCAAAGCCACATGTGAAGCCCCCATCATTTTCTGCCACCGTTAATGCTCGCATTTTGCGGGTCGGGAGCAGCTGGATGGACTCGCCACCTCACGACACTAAAAGCTCGGTGCAGAAAACCACAGGTTAAAGTGACATGAGAGACGACAATTATGTAAACCCCACACTTGTTTCCATTAAACCTGAATCTACATTAGACTAGAAAACTTTCAGAAATGTGCCTGACCATCACAAATGTGTCATCTGCCATAGATATCTGATTTTAAATGAAAACCACAAACTCCACTGGAATGCATTCAAGTCTGGAGCAACCAAACCTCGTTTGATGGAAAAACATTACACACAAGTCCTATTTTTTTTTTCTTATTTATCACTAAAAGTACACTGCTGAATCATAAAATATCTTCATGATACAGAAAATATAAATCTGGAGATCTCTGAGGGACCTTTTAACATCTAAGCTTCACTGTTGCCAGGCTTCATAACATTCATCTAAATGTTAGAAACCAACATTTTCTTGACTCCAGAACCTCACAAATCATAACCGTAAAACTTGGACCAGACGACAAGCACGTGGCTCTGCAGCGGAGTGTGTGTGTGTGTGTGTGTGTGTGTGTGTGTGTGTGTGTGTGTGTGTGTGTGTGTGCGTGTGTGTGTGTGTGTGCGTGCGTAACACTCTCCAGTAGCTGGAGAGTGTTAATCTGCTCCTAAGACCTCTGCTCTGCCATAGAGCAGACAGCATAAGTTGACCTTAGCTTGCCGTATCAATGGTACAGAGGATGGAGTCTGCTACTGATAAACCACTTAGCGCTAGCCCACGTCGTCCCACTGCTACTCAACTCATCTGTTTCCTTGCCTCAGATTTACCCGATTACTAACCTAATAATCTATGGCCCACCATATATTTGTGTGGGTCACACAAATATATTAGCAGATGTAGTCTGACAGCACATTAGCTGCCTTCCAGTTGTGAACAAAGCAGAATAGCTGTGATTCCATGCTAGATGAGTGATCACAGTAATTGGGCTAGTGTGTCACGGGGCTCCAGCAGTCTTAAGGAGCGTCGCAGGGACGGGAATAGAGGAAGGTAATCTCTGCTAAGACCGCAGCATCCATCTGGGAGGGCCATCTGGATGGCGCCTCACGCTTTGTGCACGCCAGCAACTGGAGGACCTGCAAAGACGGCTACGCGCTAACAGGATTCCTGCTAATTCATGACGTGAAGAGCTGGTGTCACACCAGATAGAATCTCCAGGTGAATACACAGATGGCTGACAAGCCATTCATTCTCTAGGACATAAAAGATATGGAATGAACTATTGGAAAACTAAAAGAAAACTATGAAAGAATAAGATTTTTTTTTTTTATGAAATCACAGGAAAAGGTAATCTCTTCAAAGACATGACACAAACTAATTACACCAATTGTTTCTGCTCAAATTTTCTGTCAAGCGATTCCTGAGGTGTAACGTCTGATTTAAAATGATGCTAAGAATTTTGCTAGACGGTGATCTTTATCTGGATACAAAAGTCCTGAGCTGGAACCTTTGTATCTGCATGTTTCTGGTACACCCACAAATCTGACGCACAAGTTACAACTGCAAACAGCAATGAATGATGAAGTCACTTCTCCTGGCGTACCGTGGGTTAATTTTTGCTTTAAAAAAAATCTGATTGGTGTTGGAAAAGACTATTGTTGTGTTCAAATTGTGCTAAATAGAGTTAGCCTAGCATCTCTATGCTAAACATGTTGCAGCAGCACAACGCTAATGTCAACGTCTAGAGTTAACATTTCTAAAGAAGTTCTAGGAATGATCAGGTCCCTGAAATACTGGAAAACAGAATGTCTAGAATAGCACTTTGCACTAATCTGATGGTTGAATAACTTTAATAAAAAGCATAAACAATAAACATCCTTGCTGATGAGCTTGTGTGTCTAGTTATTCAATAATTTAGCAACAAAAAAGGGTCTTTGAATTTAAAATTTTGCTTATTTTGCCAATGTATGTGGCTTTCAACTACAGACCCTGAAATTAATTCAAACATTTAA